AAAAAAAAAAAAAAAAAAAAAAAAAAAAAAAAAAAAGAAAATCACACCTAGGTACATAATAGACAAACTGCTGAAAACCAAGATAAAGAAAAAAATGTTGAAAGTAGCCAAAAGGGAAAAAAAGAAACACATTTCATATAGGGAAGCAAAAATACAATGAGGATACGTAAGAAAGGTACAGAAACAGCTTGAAATAAACTAAAGAAGAATAGCACTTTTCAAAAGAGATTTATTTCCTAATTCTATTTTCCTAGCTATATCTTTGGACTAATTCCAGATTTAGGACTCTGGCCTATTCTCTAGAAAGTGAAATGTAAGAACACCAAGATTTTGTGACTTTGGTCACTTGGGAATAAGATAACTCTTGTTGTGGAGCACAGGCTCTAGGCACACGGGCTTCAGTAGTTGCAGCACATGCACTCAGTAGTTGTGGCTAACGAGCTCTGGAGCGCAGGCTCAGTAGTTGTGGCGCACGGGCTTAGTTGCTCCATGGCATGTGCAATCTTCCCAGACCAGGGATTGAACCTGTGTCCGCTGCATTAGCAGGCAGATTCTTAACCATTGTGCCACCAGGGAAGCCCCCCTTTTTTTTTTTTTTGATTTTTGCTTTCAATTAAAGTAGATACTTATATTTTCTGGAATGTGCTATTCATCGTGCACTCACCTATGAATAACAGATGCAAATCAGCTAAACAGAGCTAGGACACTTTCATTAAAACAAATAGTAACCTATTTCTAAGTCATTTGTTAGGAGAATATGACACTTTGTTTACCTAATTGATCTAGGACACATCAAGGAATTTTGAAATAAAAAGATACTTTAGACTACAAGTTGTTCTTAATGTAATTCAACCTTCTGAAACAGCACATTTTTTCATATCAGTTATCTAAATCTAAACATCCTTTTCATCAGTTTAAAAATACTAGTAAATGTTAATAGCCACCTCTTTCCAAAACGCGGTTATTGATCAAGGGCAAAGAAGTTTTACAAAGAAAATACTGCAGGTTCTGACATTTAATTAAGGTAGAGATATAACCACAGTATTCATATCAGCAAAAGGTATTTATACTTGTTGACTGCCCCCCGCCCCCGCCCCAAAGAAGAAGAAAAAGTTCCTAGGATCTGGCTGCTTTAAATTATGTGTGTGAATTTCTTTCCAGGAGAAAACACAGAATAATACAATGTCAGAGTGAAATGTAAGATCAAGTCACAAGCAAGTCCAGTTCATTTGACTCACCTATGTGATAAAGTCCAATCCAATCACTGGGGTCCACCTCCTCTTTAATGTCCCAGAAGATGATGAGGTTCTGAGCTTGCCCCAGCGTGTACTCATACATGCTGGCAGTCAGGCTGGAGCGGCTCTCAGAAGTCACCAGATCGGTGTCGCTGTTGGCCCGCTGTAGAGTCATATTCTCGGGCATGGAGCTCTGGGCGGCCAGGCTCTGGAGGTTCTCTGGACTCAGTGTGTACCGCATCTGGGGATTTCGACGCCTCACAAAAAGCAGGTGCTCCCGGGCTGAGCTAGCCATCCCGTCTGCCTCTCTGAGGTTGGCTTTCTACAAAGCTGTGAGAGACAAACAAGCACAAAGCATTAGTGCTACAATGCAAGGAATTAAGTTTAAGCTTCCCAGATAAAAAGACTTTATGAGTGTTTGTTAAAGCTTAACCATGCAATAATCTTCTGCTGTCAAAATAAAACCTATATTCTACTGTCAACTGATGATTGTCAGAAACAACTTCTATAGACTGAGGTCACAAGATGGCAAAGGCCATCAAACACCTGTGGCCCTCAATTTCACTGGGCACAGCTTCCTCAGAGCAATTAAGGAGACTTCCCTACCATCCCTTTTACGGCTATTCTTTCTCCTTCAGAAATGGCATCCTCCTCTCCTTCACATATTCATTTGCTGATGCAATTAAATTTTAAAATAGCAAGACAGAAAATTTTGAGACATGTTCAACAGAGTTGAAATATACTACTGAGGACAAGTTCTATTTCCTTCCCATAGGAATGAAACTCACTAAACCCTTTTTCAGGAGCTTGCTCAAATGTTACCTCCTCACTTAAATAGAGTTGGCCATCCTGTTTAAAACTGCAACAGCCAAGCATTTCCCATCCCTCCTTCCTGGCTTTACTTTTCTCAAAAGCAATTACTCTGATCTGATGTACCACCACATAGTACCATACAATTATTTATTTGGTTACTGTGTACTTTCCCCCACAAGAATGTAAGCTGGGGGAAAGAACACTCTTCAATAAAAGGTGATTGGAAAATTGGGCAACCATGTGCAAAAGAATGAAACTGGACCACTGTCTTACACCATGCACAAAAATCAACTGAAAATGGCTTAAAAACTTGAAATAAAGCTCCGAGAAGAAAACACAGACCAAAAATTCTTTGACATAAATCGTAGCAATATTTTTTTGGTTCTGACTCCTAAGGCAAAGGAAACAAAAGCAAAAATAAACAAATGGGATCTAACTAAACTTAAAAGCTTTTGCACAGCAAAGAAAATCACTGATGAAACAAAAAGACAACCTACTGAATGGAAGAAAATATTTTTAAATGATATGACTGATAAGGGGTTAATATCCAAAATATATAAACAGCTCATACAACTCAGTATCAAAACAAACCAAACAACCCAATTAAAATATGGGCAGAAGACCTAAACAGACATTTTTCCAAACAAAACACAGATGACCAACAGGCACATGAAAAAATGCTCAACATCGCTAATCATCGGGGAAACGCAAATCAAAACCACAATGAGGTACTGCCTCACACCTGTCAGAATGGCTTTTATCAAAAAGAAAACAGATAACAAATGTTGGCAAGGATGCGGAGAAAAGGAAACCCTCCTGCACTGTTGGTGGGAATGTAAATAGGTACAGCCACTATGGAAAACAGTATGGAAGTTCCGTAAAAAACTAAAAATAGAACCAACCACCATATGATACAGCAATTCCAGTTCTGGGTATATATCCAAAAGAAATGAAAACAGGATATCAAAGAGGTATCTACACTCCCGTGTTCATTGCCGCATTATTCACAATAGCCAAAATATGTAAACAACCTAAGTGTCCATCAATGAATAAATGGATAAAGAAGATGCAATACATATACATATGATGGAGTATTTTCCAGCCATGAGAATGAAAGAAATCCTGCTCTTTGCAACAACACAGATGAACACTGAAGCATCATGCTAAGTGAAATAAGTCAGAGAAAGACACATACTGTATTATCTCACTTATATGTGGAATCTAAGAAAAAAGTCAAACTCTTAGAAACAGAGAGTAGAAGAGTGGTTGCCAGGGGCTGCGGGATGGGGGGTAATGGGAAGGTTGGTGAAAGACTACAAACTCTAAATTTTCAGATGAATAAGGTCTGAGGAACTAATGTAAAGCACAAATGACTACAGTTGATAACACCATATTATATAATTGAAATTTGCTAAGAGAGTAGAACTTAAATGTTCTCATCAAAAAAGAAGTGTGATAGATGTGTTCATTAACTAGATGGTGGGAATCCTTGCACAACGTATATGTACATCAAATCACCACAATATAAACTTTAAATATCTTACAATAGTATCAATTATACCTCAATAAAGCTGAAAAAAATAAAAAAGAATGTAAGTTTCACAAATGCATCTGTTTTGTTCACTATTTTATCCCCAGTGTTTCCAACAGTGCTTGGTACAGAGTAGGTGTCGATAAATGTTGAATGAAAAGATCACTGAACAGTGAGCATCCTTGTGCTAGATAGTCCTTAAGCTCCTAGGAGATACTCCTTACTATCTCCTAGATACTCATGACCTACACCTTGAGTCCCTTTGCTGGGCCTGCCCTTTGCCAAACCTATTTCTACCATCTAGACCCACAGTAAGCTATTTCCTTTGGCTCCCACTTGGCCTCCATCTAAAGGAACAAAGCTTTTCCTGTTCAAACTTAGATCCAGTCCCCTGTTGGTTCACTGAGTCTAGTCCTAAGATATCCATTTTCTTCTCCATTGCCAGGCTCTGACAGAGATTCTTTCTAAGACCTCTGTACTTTACTCTAGCACATTTGAGGTTCCATCTGCCAGTGCCTTTCCTGTCTGTCCATGGATTCACACTCCCTAACCCAGACCCCACAGGCTCTACACAGAATGAATCTGGCTCTCCTCTCACTACCCCTTTCAGGACTACATCACTCACTAATAGGTTTATGGATTTAACATTTACTCTGCATCCCTAGTATGTGCTGGCCTCTTTAATATACTACATCTTTTCAGAAGGCCACTCCTGCAAGGTGTCCTAGAATGTCAACCTGAACTTTCATAAAAAAAAAAAAAAAACTAATCTTGGGCTGAATATTTACGTTATAACTAATAATCTTGGATACCAAGTCGGAGGTAAGAAAAGAGGAGGGTTCCCTAATTTCTCCCATCCCCTCATCCATTTCACAAACACTTGGGTGAAGGGGACATTCTACCATTGCTAAGGTCATAGTACTTGCAAATGTATCTATTCAATTAATTTCTGGCATAAAGTTGATCTCATATTTTTAGCACTATCCCTTGAATTAAAAAATCACTGGGATTGGTGGGCAAGATGTCCTGTGTAAAAAGGACAGAAATAAAACGAACAGAGAAACTTAATACCCCTCTTCATAAATTTAGCACTTGCTTCCTTATGTGGTATATGGTAACTCTGACATCATATAACCCATAACTGTTAAACAACCTCAAATCCATAACGTCTAAAATTCAGGTCAATCTCTAATCTCAGGGTTTCATGAAATTTTCATTCTAGTGGATTTCGACAGGCCGTTCTTTGTCTATAAACCCAGAGTGCGTCCAGCACCACATCAGCTTCAGCAAGCACTGTAAATAGTTAACTCCTAACATGTTGTAGTCAAATAGAGAATGCAGGCTGGACATAGCTAAGCTACTCCCCTGAAAGAATAGGCCAGAATCTTTACAGCTTTAAGCCACAACAAAAGAACAACTGAAAATTACTCTGCTCTAGAAAAAAGGGGAAAAACAGGGATGTACACCAAAACTGTTTTATTTTTTAATGACCTCTATTTAATCAGAGAGATAGGTAAACACAGCGGATAAGAGAATAAGCTCCAAAGTCTGATTTCTGGGTTTCAGTCATATTTCTACTATTAAGTTGCTCTGTGATCTTGGACAATTTATTTTAACTCTGTGTGCCTTCACCTTCCCATCTGTAAAGTAGGGACATAATAACACCTGGTTCATAGAATTTTGGAGAGAACTAAATGAATCAGTATAGGTACAGCATTTAGAACAGTGCCTGGCATATAATAAGTGCTCAATCATGTTTAGCTATGAATATTATGTGACTACATTCTACTTTAATTATATAAAGTAGAACTGGTTTTAATCCCCTTGATCCCCCCACTTATTGGGAGAGTAGGCTATCCGTATCCACCATTATTCAAAGCACAATCCCAAAAACAGAAAGAAAAAAAAAAAAAAAAAGAGCCTGGTAGGCACTGAGGAAGAGCTATCCTGAAGCCCGAGCCTTAATGCCGTAACAGTGGCCTGACAAGGGCCATTCTCTGGTCCTCTAGCCAGAGATAAGGGTTGGAATTTGACTTTCTCACCATTATTGGCTTCATTCATTCATTCATTCAACAAAATTTTATCGAGCACCTCCCTTGTGAAAGGGAGACACGCAACAGACAGGTCAAAAAATAAGACAGAAATGTGCAAATTTGCTAGTTTAACTGAACCCTGCAAATAAAAACATATGGAGCATCTATTAGTACACATCTGGCATAAAGCTACAAAGTATACTAAACAGAAAAGAGAGTGAGGTTTTCTTTCAAATTCTTTCTTTTCTTTCCCTAAGGCACGTAATTTACTCTATAGGAACTTGACTCTGGGGGGAAAAGACAAATACACATATGAAAGAATTCAATCCTGTACTAATGACACTTCATGTATATGTACAATTTGTCCCCACAAGTATGTGATGGAGATAATAAACGCTCATGAGGCATCAGGAAGTGACAGTAATATTTATAAAGTGTTTTACATTTTTCAAAGCATTTTCACTTCTATCATCTCAAGTGAGACCCAGAATATTATGAATTAAATTTGAGAGATGCCATCATCTCTGTTTTCAGATGAGAAAACTGAGGATCTGTGAGGCAAAAGGTTAGCTGAAGGAGATAAAAACACTTTGGAAGTGGTTATATATTTGAGGTAAGTCTTAAAGGATTAGAGGAAAAGAAGAAATATATGAAGAAATGAATGCATTCTAATTGGAAGGATGGATATGGAGAAGCAACCAAGGATGAGAATATGAGAGGGAAGAAACAAAATCGAAAACAGAGGCTCTGCAGAACCCTGGGAAAATGATGGGAATCCTCCAAAGGAACCAAGCAGAAGCCCAGGGAGAGAGGCAGGTCTTAATACTGCCACTGAAGACATATGGTGAGCCCAGACCTGACTCAAAACATACTGATGCCCCATGAGGTTAAACCCCCACCCAAGGTCGCAGAGCTGTTAAGTGACAAGGGTAAAAATCAAGGTAAAATAGGAG